GTAGAGACGTGTGGAGGAGCAGAATTTCGTGGATAAAAGCGTGGACGGAGGTGGGCGAGGGGTGCTTGACGCGCTTGAGAGCGACGGTGGTGTGGGCGTAAATACCGCGCCAGACGTCACCGTATGCACCAGATGCGAGTGGCTTGGTGCCGCAGAGAACGATGGCGTCGGCGTCAATCTGGAGCATATGGAGCGTTGCCATCTCGTTTGGTCGGAGCGTCGACGCGAGGTAGTCGTCGTCGGACGATCGACGGGTTGTAGCACAGATCTTGCTCGTGTAGTAGAGACAGGAAATGATGCTAGCAATCACGAGCAGCGAGCCCGCGATAATGAGGTAAATGTTGAGCTCTACGCAGTGTTGTGACGATGGACGCGTCACGGTTTTCAATCGCACCCCAAAGTTGCAGATGACTGCGATAGGATATCTCATCGGAGATGACACACGCCGTGTACTGGGGGTAGGCGTCCCAGAGAGGCATCACGCGTAGGTTCTCGCCCACGCAGAGCCCGCTCTCAAGCCTTGGGACGCGAAAGCTCGAGGTCGGATGGAGACGCTGGAGCGCGCGAAACGATGTGGTGTCGAGGTGCGCAGCAGTGATGTTGCAGTTGGGACAGGTACTAGAGGAAAACTATCAATGCGAGTGAGAGGACTTGAGGCATCGTACAAATGTTGAAGGCGGTTGGAGAGCCGCCATTCCTCGAGTTTGGTGACACCATACAACTCCCTAAAACACAAATCTCAGTGCCCATCAACTCTGAAAAAGCCAAGCTGTACAGTCGTTCAAGGCTGGACAGGTCGCGCTTGTAGAAATAAAGGTCGCTGACCAGGTCCAAGTGCCTGCCATACCCATGAGCATGTCGGTTTGATCCTCATCCAGTCGTCGTACAGGTAGGTTAAAGTGGGCGGAAATGCATTGTCTAGCGAGACGCTGCCGTTGGCAATGAACCTAGCAGTACCGAGAGACGTTATTGTGCATTGAATGTTGTCGACGACGTACAGATCGCGGAGGCGGCGCATGCGCAACGGGTAGAGAGTGACCGTCTTGGTCGAGTTTGAAAGCATCCTACACATACACATCCGAGTCATTTCTCTACATGTGCACCTGGCAAGACAGACAAGCGCTCGAGGCCTCTGGGAACGGGGACGTTGTACAAGGTGTCCAAGGTATGGCTGTCGAGCCATCTACTCTTCGTCGTCCATGAAGAAAATCAAATTGCATTTCACGACGGACAGCGAGCGAAGATCAGCCGGCAGCTGCCGGTACTTGTGCGCCAAATGACGCTCTTGGACGTTGACCAGTGTGCTATACAGAACGTTAGCTCAGCAAGAAATATTGATTGTCGCGCGGACAGATTGGCCGGCGTGTGGCGCGAAAGGTCGCCGAGGAGGTAGCCCGCAGCAAAATCAAAGCGCGTCGCGTTCGCCGGTAGGGTCTCGACGACCGAGCAGTTGCGACCAAGCACGCACGCTGCCGCGCACGAGCCGTCGTTGGTCAAGATAGTCTCGTCGTCGCGGAGGTCGTCGTACTTGCAGGCCATTCACGAATGGCAATCTGGTCCGGCTTTTCTACCCAAATCTCAAATGTGTCCAAAATCCCCAAAAACCAAACTGTACATGAGACAGTATTGATATATGTTTGACATATAAGTCATATTCGAGAAGCAAAAGGCGCGCTTCTGGGTGACAGCCAGTCGGACAGCAGCAGTATCGCGACGACGCTGGCCGTCCTCACGACGGTCGAGACCTTGCCACATGCAGACAGTGTGTGGATACAACGACCTCAGCGCCCAGCAGCGCGTGCTCGTAGCGGATGGCTCGTGCGGCGCGGCAGCGACCTGCCTTCTCGATCGCGACTGCGCAGTCGCCATGGTCATGCCGGTCAACGCGACGCGGTTTGACCTCGAGAGCACGTGGCTGCTCGGCGACCTCTCGCGGTACCCGCACGATACGCTGTACACTCGCGTTTGGTCGATATTGTCATTTCAATGGTGGACCTAGAGAACTCGCGCAGGTGCAGAGCGCCACGAGTCTGCACGCGTATCTGCAGTTTCCCGTGGCTCTGCGCGCCTTGTAGGGCGAGTATGAAGTGGTCGAACGAAGAGCTCATGCGTCTGCGTATAGAGTCTATGAGCAGGCAACGATTGACGCCGAGTCGGACGAACACTTCGAACCATCGGTCAGCGCGCTGGAACGACTGCAGCTGCCGCGTGCCCTCGAGAGCTTGTGCGAGGCATTGAATGCGTCCATGGTGCCTACAACGATGTCTCTAGGACACTGCGCAACTGCTTGGTACAAGGCACGATGGAGTTTTATGGACTGGAGCACCTCCGGCGACTGTACGACGTATCCTCAACGCTTCATCCTCTCTCAACGCCATCATAGCGAGCTCCGGAACTCGCGCTTTAGCGATTTTTGGCTCGGTGGCGTCGACAACACCCTGGAGCATTTGTACGTTCTCCAAACATCGACCATTTTGACCAAGTTTGGCAGAGTACTCGACAACTGCGTCTCGTACAGGGGCACTTACCCTCTCTCGCTATATTTCAAACGACTGCGCACCCTGTACGTACTAATTATCGAGATATCGGAGCTCTCATGTGCGTAGCGAGCTCATTGGCGTGCACACGCCAATCTTGCGCCTCGAAGTGTCGTCCGAGCTGCGCTACTTGTACCCTGCCCTGTGGGTTTTATCCTGTTTAAACAACGGCGAGCGTAGTGTCTGTGACGACTGCGACGTGCCAAGTGTCATGGTCGACAATACAACGTACGCAGCGCTCGCGGCCCTTTCGCCGGCCTTGCCCAATGCCACCGAAGGCTACCGCGTCCACCGTATTCAGCACGACGAAGCGCAGTGCATGGCAGCACGTGGCCAAATCAAACGGCTCTGGGAAACCACCTCAGTCTGCATCCCGGATCGCAACCGGCCGCCGATTGGTACTGTCGTTTGCGCCACAACCTTGTAGAATCCCACCTCATGTCCGCGCGTAGATACCAACGTTGGCTCGTCGTGGATGTACCCCTATACCACGTACATCTATCTTGGAGGCGCCGCTGTCCTTCTGTGCATCGTCCTCTTCTCTGTCTACGCGATTCGACGCGGCAGCCGCGCCGTCAAAACCCGGCGATCGGCCGACGACGACTACCTCGCGTCGACGCTCCGACCAAACGAGATGGCAACGCTCCATATGCTCCAGATTGACGCCGACGCCATCGCTCTCTGCGGCACCAAGCCACTCGCATCTGGTGCATACGGTGACGTCTGGCGCGGTATTTACGCCCACACCACCGTCGCTCTCAAGCGCGTCAAGCACCCCTCGCCCACCTCCGTCCACGCTTTTATCCACGAAATTCTGCTCCTCCACACGTCTCTACCTCCGATGCGATCCATATTGTTTTCTTGACGGTCGTTCAATGGTTGTAGGCTCGAGAGTCCATACATTGTCCGTCTGCTGGGCGTGCGCTGGCGCCGCCTCATGGACATTGAGGCCATCGTCGAGTACTGCGACCTCGGCGACCTGCGCAGCTTCCTCGCCGCGTCCACTGTGGACAATGTGTCGTGGGCGACGAAGGCGTCGATCCTCGAGAGCGTCGTGTACGGGCTCGTGTTTCTGCACACGTTTGAGCCCGTGATCATCCACCGCGATCTCAAGTCGCGCAATGTGCTCTTGGATTCCAAGAATGGCACGAAACTCAGCGACTTTGGCACGTCCCGCATCCTCGACGACCAAAAGACGCTCACCAACGGCATTGGCACGTTCTAGTGGATGGCGCCCGAGGTCATTCTCGGCACCGAGTATACCGTGGCCGCCGACATTTACTCGTTCGGTTCGAACTTTTTTCTGATTTTTCTGATTTTTCTGATTGTTGTGTCCTATAGGTGTCATCTTGTCCGAGATGAGCACCCACAAGGTGCCCTACAGCGACGCGCTCAATGCGTCGTCCGGCCGAGCACTGAGTCAGCAAGCCATTTTGTCCAAAGTCACATCCGGTGCACTGCGACCCACGTTTGCGGCGGCGGCACCTCATTGGCTGCTGGAGGTCGGCTCTCGCTGTTTGTCGCTCGACCCGACACAACGACCGACGACGCTCGAGCTGACGGTGCTGGTCCGCGACTTTGGCATAGCTGTCGCCGAGTACGATCAATGCGAGGGATGAGTAGTGTACAGTGTAGTTAATATAAACCATGATCTTGATGTTGTCGTACGGGTATGGCAGCCTATTGGTGATGATGCAGTGGTTTGGCAATGCGTCGATAGTGTACTGGAACATGCGCGCCACGATCCGTTCCGAGGTCGAGCTTCTTGCACCTGGCGGAAGCAGCGTCTTACCGTCGAGAGGCTCGACTTGGCCTTGCTAGCAGCCTATATTATTTTATATGCTAGTTAATCCTTATACGAGTACTAGTACGTTGTTTATGTATTGGCTGGTGGTCTGGACGTGGCAAAGCTAACGCACTAATAGCGCAACCTGCTCACGTGGCACCAGTTGGACGACTGACTGCGAAGTGCTGTCGTAACGGTTCCTCGATCGTCGTTGTTGCGGCCCGAGTCGAGTGGTCGCTAGCGTCACATCACGCATCGTGCCGACGGCGGCGTGTTCGGCGCTGGCCTTTGCGCCTGGATGAGTTACCTGGAAAGTCCTCGCACCCATCGCAGCCAGAAGGACCAGCTGGTGGTCGGTGGTGTTTATTGGAGCGCGTTCAGTTTCGCTTTTACCACCGCCCTTTTCTCATGAGCCGCGACGCCGCGTACTACATTAAGCACATCCCGATGCTGCCGCACCCGGAAGAGAACGGGTACTACGCGGTCCAGCACCGCTCGACGAACCTCATGGCGACGCCGGGCTGGGACGGCCCGCCGACCCGCGGCTGCCTCTCGACCATCTTTTATATGGTCGCCCCCGTCATGTTTATCCACGTCAACCGGTCGGAGATTGCCCATTTTTGGCAAGCGGGCAGCGCGATTCGGTACGTCATGGTCAATCCTGCGACGCTTGAGACGACGGAGCTCGTCCTTGGCCCGGACGTCCACCTCGGCCACGTGCTGCAGTTCACGTGCCCCGGCGGCTGGTGGAAGGGCGCCGAGGTCCTCGATACGTCCATCAACTTTGGCCTTGTCTCGGAGGCCGTGAGTCCCGCGTTCGACTACTCGGACACGTGGCTTGTCGAGGCAGCCGATATTCCCGAGTCGCACGCACCGCTGCGTCGGTTTTGCCGCCCCACCGGCTGGAGCTGCGCGACCGAGAAGGAGATCCAGGCCAACTACGCCTTGACAAAACACACAGCGAGCCAATAGACAATAGTACCAAGGGGATAAGACGATGGAGTAAGACAGTTGTTGTTCTTTCCTTGGTTTCTGGTTGTGCATAGAGACCTTCGATTCGTTAGCGATGAGGTGGAGAAGATGTTTGCAGCTCGGTGGCTTGTGATGACTATTCTCAAGACGGTAGAGCAAGCACGGGCTAGCGACCGAGACCGACGCCCGCCACTAATGTTTAAAACGACAACTTGAGGCCCGAGCGGACGCGACATCAAAAGACGTTTCGAGACCAAGGATGGCGCCATCGCACCTTGCGCTCGTTCCATAATGCAAGTCGTCTGTGGCTGCGACGCGACGACGATCGTGTGTGCTGGGACCGTGCCTTGCCAACGCCCTTGTTGACGATTCTCTCACGACCCATCAAAGACAGACATCCTGACGCTCTTTCCGTCAGTCAACAAGTCCGTTACCGCGGTATTTCTCATCCATCTCGCCACCGACGTTGTTGTACGAGGGTGTTTCCTCCTTGCTTGCTTCCATCTTGCTCCATTATGCTCTCGGCACGTCCTCATTTGGTGGTAAAGACCGGTCCATCGCGTGGCGCATGGAGACGGCAGCATTAGGTCAAAGCGCACTTAATCAAATTATGCTTGGTTTTTGTAAAAAAGACCTTGCAGAAGTTCAATAGCTTGTATTTTGTATTGACTTCAACCGTACTTAACAGAGTACCTCGACGAACCAAGAACCTTCCAAAATGCATATCCTGTGGCGATACATGCTGGATCCAGAGATTGCAAAGGTACAAGGTATCAGGAATGAGATTCTAAAACCTTCAAGAACACATATCCCGTTGAAGCGAAAGGTAGAAAGCGTCGGCGGTGCCATTCGCCGCGACCCGGCGTCCAACATTTCTGTATTTTTCCAGTTGGCCAGTTCGCTGCGCGGACCACCGACCTGTCACCAGCCTACCGGTTCCACCACCTCTGCAGAACTATGGTCGACACCCGTGGACGCATCCGAACGTGCCAGGCCAACGTCGTGAGTGCGCGCGGTCGTCTGCACTCGCCGCTCTTCCGCAACACGCGCTCCAGCACCTCGACGACCTCGAGCACCGTCGACGAGAACGACGACGACCCGCTCGTGCGCGAGACGCC